TAACCCATGCATGATATATCATTATATAACCCATGCATGATATATCATTATATAACCCATGCATGATATATCATTATATAACCCATGCATGATATATCATTATATAACCCATGACATATCATTATGTAACCCATCATATATTATTATGTAACCCATGACATGGTATTATATTTATCCCGTCTATCACCCCGCAGGTCAGATGCTGCTCAACTGGCTGTGTTCATCGTTCAGCGACGACCACTACGTATGCAGCGCTCTCAACCGGCAGGAGCTGCGGCTGATCGCTGCGCAGTTCTGCACACATCTGATGGCAGCGGGGATCCTGCACGCCCTGGAGGGCCAGCAGCAGTCGACGATATTCAGGGTGAGTGACGAAGGAAGCTCTTCCGAGGGGGCTCTGCTCCCGCCACAAAAAAAAACACGAGACCATTCCTTACGTGGGTGTCTGTCACAATAAAAACACGAGACCATTCTTTACGTGGGTGTTCGTCACAATAAAAACACGAGACCATTCCTTACATGGGTGACCGTCACACAAAAAACACGATACCATTCATTACGTGGGTGCCCATCACAATAAAAACATTAGACCATTTCTTCCGAAAAACACGAGACCATTCCTTACGTGGGTGCCCATCACATTAAAAACATTAGACCATTCCTTCCGAAAAACACGAGACCATTCCTTACATGGGTGCCCGTCACACAAAACACGAGACCATTCCTTACGTGGGTGCCCATCACAATAAAAACATTAGACCATTCCTTCCGAAAAACACGAGACCATTCCTTACATGGGTGCCCGTCACACAAAAACCTTCAGACCATTCCTTACGTGGGTGCCTGTCACACAAAAAACGTTAGACCATTCCTTATGCGGGTGCCGGTCACACAAAACATTAGACCATTCCTTACTTGGGTGCTTGTCGCCAAAACACAATTAGACACTTCCTTCCGTGACTGTGCATCGCCAAAAGACACGAATGAGAGCAATCCTACTGTGGGAGCCCGTCGCAAAAAAACATCAGGCCATTTCCATCTCAGGTGGCCATTGCAAAAAAAGTTAAAACTTTCTGCCCAAGGCAAAAAAATATATACTAGACCATATCAGCATGATTGGAATTTCGGGCAAAACTGTCGTAGGAAAATTTCAGTAGGTAGGAGAGAACAACAGGTGAGCGTGTTGCGCCACACCACCTGTCATTGCAAAGTCACCTGACCTCAGTCAAGTGACTTCAGTAACCAAACGGTGTTCGTAGGCTCGCTTGGCCACGTGGCACAATTAATGAATTAAATGACGAATTAATTAGTTAAATTCATTGGCATAACCAAAGAATGATCAGCGAGGTCCGGGTGTTCAGGTTTCTTCTGTCTGGGATTTTCTGATGCTAATACGGAAACTCTAGATGTATCTTAGATGGTCTCTTGAGTTTGGCGTAAATTACCGCGTCGCGCCCGCCAGTCGGTATTGCGAAGAATAAAATCTGATGAAATTTACGTGCGTAATTGCGCGCGTGACTGTACTGTGTACAGGAGTACAGCGAGTGAGGGGTGGAGTGAGTATAACGTACCCGGTGATTGTAACGCTGCGTCCGGTTGCTAGGAAGCAAGAACTCGGCTAAATCGACTGGCTAGAACGTTGGGGGAGATGCGCGTTACATTTACTCCACCCGCTATGACTAATATAACGTATATATATATATATATTATATATATATATATATATATTCACACGTCTTAAGCCAAAGCTCTGGGCACACACACGTGTGTGTGCGTGCGTGCGTGTGTGTGCGCGCGCGTGTGTGTCCATAACCCTGACGTGGGTCGTGTGAATGTAGCAAGCGACACAGCGAAGTCCGTTAGGTTTACGCACTTGAGCTGTCGATGACATTTTTTGGCTATTGGAATTGGTGGGGACCAAGGTCCAAGCCCCTTAACTATCCCAGCCAAGGACCAACCCCCTAAGTAACCCTACCAAGGAGACCAATCCCGTCATTATCCCAACCAAGGACCCGTAACCGGAGCGCAGCTCGGTGCAGTGTTTACCGGCGATCGAGCGGTTGGGGAAACGCGCGGCGAAAATGCCTCTCAATTACAAATATTTGCCGAGCTCTTCAGCTTAGCATAACGCATGTAGATGTAGGCATCATCGCACCCTCGTCGCATGTAAACAGTGTAGGCAGTGAGTCTGGATTAAGCTGTAGGTGCCACTCACTAATTCACGACCTCCTCACTGAATATTTGGTAAAAAATAATTGGTAAAAAATAATTCATCATCTCGATGACTTTCTTATATTATTATTTATTAGGATATTCGAAAGATTACACGGGCTTGTTTATTTTCATTTAAAATGCTGCGTTGGTTGCGCGCTTGAAAACCGGCCGCGTATAACGCGTTCATGTGACATCTGTGTGTAGAGAAAGAGAGAGAGAGAGAGAGAGAGAGAGAGAGAGAGAGAGAGAGAGACGTGAGAGAGAGAAAGAGAGCAGTGAGAGAGAGCGAAAGAGAGCGCGATGCGAGCGCGAGAGAGAGAGAGAGAGGAAGAGAGAGATAGAGCGACCGCGAGCGACGAGAAAGAGAGAGGAGAGTGAGAGAGAGAGAAAAAGAGAGAGTGAGAGAGGAGAGAGAGAAAAAGAGGCGTGAGAGAGAGCGAGAGAGAGAAGAGAGCGAGAGAGAGGAGAGAGAGTGAGAAGGTGAGCCGCGAGAGAGAGGAATAGAGAGAGAGAGAGAGAAGGAGAGAGATGAGCGAGAGAGAGAGAACGAGAGCGAAGAGAGAGAGCGAAGATGCGAGAGACGAGAGAGAGAGAGAGCGAGAGAGAGAGCAGAGAGAGAGAGAGAGAGAGAGAGAGAGACCAAATAAGAGATGATGAGAGAGTGAGATAGACGACAGAGCGAGCGGTTGCGCGAGAGAGAGAGAGAGCGATAGGAGAGAGTGCGAGAGAGAGAGAGATTAGCGAGCGAGAGAGAGGAGAGAGCGCGAGCTGAGAGAGAGAGAGAGCGCGAGAGAGAGAGAGGAGCGATAGATAGGATAGATAGCGAGAGAGAGAGCGAGCAGAGAGCGGCGAGACAGAGAGAGGAGAGTAGAAGAAAAGATGAGAGCGAGAGCGAGAGAGAGCGAGATGAGACGGAGCGATATGAGAGATAGAGAGAGAGAGAGAGAAGAGCAGACGACGGACGAGAGAGAGAGAGAGAGCGAGAGAGAGAGAGAGAGAGAGAGAGTAGAGCGAGAGAGAGCTAGATGAGAGAGCGAGAGAGAGAGGACGAGAGAGAGCGAGAGAGAGAGAGAAACGAGAGCGTGAGAGGCTGTGAGAGGGAGAACTGCGAGAGGTGAGAGAGAGAGAGAGCGATAGAGAGAGAGTGAGAGAGAGATGAGAAGAGAGAGAGAGAGAGAGAGAGCGACGCGGAGCAGAGAGCGAGAGAGAGAAGAACCCGCGCGAGTGAAGCGTGACGAGAGAGAACGCGCGAGAGTGAGCGAGAGCGAGAGAGAGGCGCCTGAGCGAAATGAGAGATAGCGCGAGAGTGCGAGAGAGAGAGAGAGCGATGCGAGAGACGAGAGAGCGGGCGCGCGAGAAACGAGAGAGTGCGAGAGGCGCGCGAGCAAGAGAGAGACGTGAGCAGAGAAGCGCGAGAGTATAGAGAGCGTGAGCGGAGAGAGAGCGAGCCGACGAGAGAGAGCGACGAGAGAGAGCGCGCGCGAGAGCGAGAGAGAGAGCGAGCGCGCGCCGAGCGCGCGAGCCGAGACGAGGAGAGCGAGCGAGAGAGAGCGATAGCGAGAGAGAGCGAGATAGCGCGCGAGACGGCCGCGCGACGCGCGAGCGAGCGAGAGAGAGAGGAGAGCGAGCGAGAGCGAGAGAGCGCGCGAGAGGAGTCCGGTGGGTTCTATGGGTCGTGTGCTGTACCGTGTAGAGGGTGGATGGCTAGATGTAGACCGTCCGCGCGTTCACACTAAGCGCGCACCCGCTTGAACCCCACCCTCGCGTGCGAAGCGCCCATGACGCACCGCACCTGTCACACACGCCTCCACCACCTCTCGCTACTCGCGCTTCTACACCGCGTAGTCCCATAAGCTGCGCACAGGCTGTCTCCCAGCGTGTCTCCACCGTTATCTCAAAACGCTGCCTCCACTCGGCTGGCGTGCCTCCACAGGTCTGCAGTACGCTGTCTCTACCCGCTGTGTTTCTCTACAATCGTCTCAACATGTCTCGAAAAATGCCTCTGGCAGTGTTCTCAACATCGTTTCGAAAATGCCGTACAGTGTCTCAACAATGCCGAATAAATGCCTCTATCAATGGTGCTTCACATGTCTCCGAAAAATACCTCTACAATGTCTCAACATGTCTTCGAAAATGCCTCGTACACTGTCTCAACCATGTTACAGAACAATGGCCTCTACAGTGTCAACATGTGCTCGAAAATGCCCTCTATCCAATGTTCTCAACATGTCTCGAAAAAATGCCTCTACTGCTCCAGCACTGTCTCGATAAAAATGCCTGCTACACTTGTCCTCATACAATTGTTTCGAAAAATGCCTCTACAATGTCTCAACAATGTCTCGAAAAATATCTCTACAATGTCTCAACAATGTCTCGAAAAATGTCTCTACGGTGTCTAAATGTAATACAGAAATAGTACGACCGCTGTCGCTCGGGATAGTCGACGGGGTAACAAACTCATTATTACATAAACAATGTCTCGAAAAATGCCTCTACGTATATCTCTATGCTGTCGCTATGTTACGTATGTCTCCGCACGCCTCCGCATGTACACACTGTCGCCACGCGTTTTCTCTATACACTCGCTCTGCGCGCCGCGGGCTGTGCCGGACGTGTGTTCCGACCACCGGGGCACGAGTGTTTCGCTCGTGACTCTGCATACAATGCGTCGGCAAGCTCGCGCGTACATATGTGCGCGCGTGGCGAGCGTGAGAGCACGCGATGAGCGGTAGCACCACAGATAGATAACATACTAGAGAGAGCGAGAGAGCCCGCGGGAAGGACGTGTTCACGCGTCCGCACGCGCACGGCAACTAGCGGGACAGACGCTAGCGGTGACGCAGTGACGCGGTGACGCGGTCTGGACGCAAGCGGTGATGCGGTGCGGACGCAAGCGAGGACGCGGTGTATATGCTATTAGTGATGCGGTGCGGACGCAAGCGGCGACGCAGTGTGGATGCATTCAGTGACGCGGTTCGGACGCAAGCGGTGACGCGGTGTGGACGCAACCAGCGACGCGGTGTATATGCTATCAGTGATGCGGTGCGGACGCTAGTGATGACGCAGTGTAGACGCTAGCGGTGACGCAGTGTGTATGCTAGCAGTGACGCGGTCCTCACGCCAGCCGTGACGCAATGCTAGCAGTGTCGCGATAATGACGCTAGGGGTAACAACGTAACTATCGCTGACGCAGTGCTAGCGGTGCTGACGCTACCGGTGACGCAGTGCTAGCGGTCAGGCAGGCGGCTGTTGTCGGCTGCTGTCTGCGCTGCGGTGTTAACATGACTTTGGACATCGTCTGCCGGCAGCCGGACGTGATGTACACGTGGACGCGGTCAGCACAGCTGGCGGACATTGGCGGCGGACCCGTGCCAAGAAAGCTGACCATCGAGGGAATGTGGCCGCCGCCGGTACCTTACGCCCCGAGTCAGACCAGCCTTAGGTACTCCGAAGCTGGTAAGTATCTATCTATCTATCTATCTATCTATCTATCTATCTATCTATCTATCTATCTATCTATCTATCTATTTATCTATCTATCTATCTATCTATCTATCTATCTATCTATCTATCTATCTATCTATCCATCTATCTATCTATCCTATTCTACTCTATCCCATGCATGGCATGCATTGCATGTATGTGACCTGTAATGTTATGTTATGTATTATGTATGTATTGTATGTATCGTGCTGTATCGTACCCGTATCTCACTTTCTACTTCATGCTCATCTATTTATCCATCTTTCTATCCATCTATCTATCATCCGTGGCAGTTCAGTTTCCCGTTGAATTAACGTCCGTTTTTGCGTAAGGTTATGTAAGTCCGTGTGCGTAACGGGCGCTGTAAAATGCACGTTTTACGTTGTCACAGTCATGCTAACATTTGTTCTGATAGCTGTTTACTTCAGTATGTTATGTTATGTTATGTTATGTTGTGTTGTGTTGTATTATGTTACGTTATGTTATGTTATGTTATGTTATGTTATGTTATGTTATGTTATGTTATGTTATGTTATGTTATGTTATGATATGTTAGATTAGTTAGTATGTTATGTACGTCAATGTGTGTAACGTTCGCTGTAACATGTGTTAACTTGTGTTACGGTGTAACAGTTACCCTAAAATTGTTTGTGAGATTTCGTGTAACAATGTTGCTGTAAAACCTGCGGTGACGTTCTTATCTCTCTATTCTATCTTGTCATATCTGTTTCTAATGTTCGTTACACGATTTCCTTCTAACGTTTGTCATCTAACTTCTTGTTGTAAGTAATCATGTATAAGGGCCTTGCGCAAAAATACGTCATCGATTTTTTTTAGAAATACATGCATCAGTCTCTGGTCAGATTAACTTCATATCACATATTATCTTTACATGTGCTATGCACAATACAGACAGATGAGCATGTATCCTTTGTGGAAATATCCACAGGCTAACAACGTACCAGACCGTGTAAGCTAAACACAGAGGTGTAATATTCCGTGACGACATGTAAGAATTTGGGAAGTGGAATAAACGGACAGTAGATAATTACATGTTTTAAATCGAAGCGTCATCGATAACGATAGTGTAGTTGTGTACTGTAGTGTGGTAGTGTAGTAAGGGTAACTATGATCGTAACAATAGTTGAACGCTAATGCAGTATTTTTGTTAAACATGCCTCCCTGCAGTTGGACACAGTGCTCCAGGGGGTGAGTTCTTGAAACCTCTTGAATAAATAAGGCGTTTCCTGACGGCACTAAAGGAAACATGCGCTATACCGGTTTTACTATACCTGATACGAAAGCGACCGTGACCTGTTGTGTTTTATTATTGCGGTGATATACGCTTCTGTTGTTCAGTCTATGTTTAAATTGATTCCTAATTTTATTGTAGGGAGGCAAGCGCACGCTATAGTCGCCACTCGGGAGCGTACTGTCGGGCATTATTATTGAATCGTACACAGTTCCATCCATCCATGAACTTAAATCGTTAATGATCCATCCATGAACTTAAATCGTTAATGATTCATCCATGAACTTAAATGGCTTGCATCCATGAACTTAAATGTCAAGTCTTCGAGACACGATTCGTTGTTGCTCATATTGTTACTTGTTACGTACATATTTGTTACTCATGTTACTTGTTCCTTGTTACTCAGTTACCTTTACTCAGTTACTCAGTTACTTGTTACTTACATACTTGTTACTCATATTCGACTCGTGGTGAGTTCCTGGTACAGACAGTCGCACCACTGGCCGGTCTCTAGCTGTCAGCCACAGCACGCTAGACCGCCTGAAATAACAGCGTCAATAAATCAATAAGTCAAATAATCAATAAATTACTCGAGGGGCAAACTATCATGAGAGAAGTTTGCAGAGCGTGCCGGCGTTCAGAGATCTGGTCGATCGAACAGAATCAGATTTGATTCGAGCGTCAAGATTGAATACTCGAGAATTGTCTATAGGCACTACCGTGCGATCGTACCAGATCAAACTATACGTACACACAAGCGGGGAGAGCTCACATATAAACCTCCGTTACAAATAGCTGTTTCGTTATTTGTCGGTGTTGGACGAAAATATACGACGGAGAGCACGAGACAAATAGGAAAAACTAAAGTAAAGGTAAAATGTCAATTATAATTTGGTTAGTTACGAGCGAAGAACAACAAACAAAACATTAAACCCACAGGTGAATCGTAAGTATAGAGAATAAGCCAGAAAATGAATAAAATGTTAGGTCTCTAAGGTCGAAACACCTATGCAAGGGCAAGTTAAGTAAATTGTTGGCCGCAATCTAGGCCTGTATGTTGATCTTAATTAAAAGTATTTGAAAAAAAACTAAACTTAAAATCTTCGAGACTTCATCTCTGCTCCCTGTTATTCATGAACCCCTTGGGGCACGTAGCAAAATGTTATCGCTTGCTAAAGAAGATCCGTTGTTAAAGCATGATGTGAGTTAGATAGTCTTTGTTCACTTCTCCTGGTTTTGCAGTTAGTATATGATCGCAGCCACGCTGCCACTCAATTCACGCGAAACGAAGACGCAATTTGCGTCAGAAATCTGCTCATATTATGTTTCCCCGCGACTTATAAGTTCGGGACAAATCGTTAAGCCTTTCTCGTCTGAAATCTGCCAAGATATTTTCCAGCTAGTTATATGAGAGCGGGACAAATCGTTAAGCCATCCTTGCGAGAAATAACGCTTGCTACGAATATGCCTGCCGAGAGCGTTGTGTAGCTTCCTAGCCGTGGAGCTGCGTACGTTTGCTTGGTCGTACACGCACACGCACACGCGCACGTACACGCACACGAGTGGGTGGCGTGCGAACACATGCACACCTGCACGCACGTACACGCACACGAGTGGGTGGCGTGCGAACGCAGCACACCTGCACGCACGTACACGCACACGAGTGGGTGGCGTCTGAACACAGCACACCTGCACGCACGTACACGCACACGAGTGGGTGGCGTGTGAACACAGCACACGCATGCACACGTACACGCACACGCGCACGTACACGCGCACGAGTAGGTGGCGTGTGAACACAGCACACACGCACGCACGTACACGCAAACGAGTGTGTGGCATGTGAACACAGCACACACACGCGCACGCGCACGCACACGCGCACGAGTGCGTGCCGTGTGAACACAACACGCACGTACACGCACACGTACACACGCACGTACACGCGCACGAGAGGATTGCGTGTGAACACTTCACACACGCACGCACACACATACGCACGCACGTAGAGCACGGTTATTGCCCGCTTACGTGACGAGGTTTCACCAGTACACCTACTTAGTTAGCAAGCATAAAGTCGTTCGTTACACGCCCTGGTTTATGTATGTGCACCTGATTTTGAATGTAGGATGGTCAGGAGGGCCAATACACTGTTGGGGATAGGATTAAGGTTAGGATTAAGGTTAAGTTAGTTTAGTTTTAGAGTTAAGTTTAGTTTTAGAGGTGGCAGTGTGTGATCATGAGCGTAATCCTAATAATAACTCTAACGTTACATCGTTACCCCAAGCTTACCGCGAACGTTGACCCTATGTTGAGCAGTGTATTGGAACTGACGAGTTATTGTGTTCTCCTGGTATTACGGCATGCCCCTCCCTTTTTCCCAGTTGTCAAGCTTGTGCTGGTATGAGAAGCACAATATTACACCTAACTGCTAGAATGTATCTTTCTATCATGTCTTTTGTTATGTGCAGTTCTTAACGTCTTGAGTGTCTGGCCTTCTGTCGGTGTTGGGATGTCATGCCGAATAAAATTGTACAGTCTTGCAAAAACAGGCCCCCACCACTCAACTCCAACACACTTGTTTGCCGTTTTACTTACTAAATTGTTGAAGTTAAACGAAAGAGACCGTGTTGTTAGTTATTTGCTCGCATCTTGACAGTGATGTATCGAAAACGGAATTCGGAGGAACGTGTATTTAAGTCTGCTGTTGTTTGCCTGTTTTCTTAGAACATCAAAACGTGGTGATGGAACTTAAGAAGGATCACGCCCACGCAATGGAACAGCTGCAGGTAATTCTTCTGGACCCACCCCCTCGCAGCCTCAGTCTCCACCGACAGTGTTACTGTTAGCTCTAGAACTATAGCCCTTGGCAGAGCGAAGGGCTATAGTTCTAGAGCTATGTTACTGTGGGACTGTGCCCGTTTTTGACAGAAACTTAAGATTCTACCGTCATCCTTTTATTCGGTTTGTTAGGATGCTCAGAGCTCTTCACTGCGTTCGTACTGTACGATACCATCGCTCTCCGTCCTCGAGTCCCGTAGTACATCTGATAAACAATCTTAATCGATTGTCTCTCGTTCTTTCTTGTGGGGTCGGGGCAAACTCTCATGACCAGGAACGTCATCATTCCGTTCCGAATACTTTTTCCTTCGTCAGCGCATTGCACCATAGCGGTCAAACGTTCACAAGAAAATTGCGGTAGCGGTTGAGCGTTCACGAGAACATTACGCTATGGCGGTCAAGAGTTTGCGAGAACATTGCGCGGTAGCGGTCAAGAGTTCGCAAGAACATTGCACGGTAGCGGTCAAGCGTTTGCAAGAACATTGCGCCATAGCGGTCAAGCGTTTGCAAGAACATTGCACGGTTGCGGTGAAGAGTTCGCTAGAACATTGCGTCGTAGCGGTCAAGCATTCGCCACTGTCCGATCTGTCGATCTATCGTCGATTTCGAGTCTAGCCGTTAAGACGTATTTTCGATATCCTCCGAATAAACCCCTGATGGATTGCTCGTCGGGGAAATGTACACACGGCTACGGGCGGCCGCCGAAACTGCACAACAGCGTAATTGCGCATTACACACTAATAGTGGGTCTCAAATATAATAGTCTCTCACACGCGCGGGACTCTCTCGAAAATATAATGGCCTCTCTCGCAAATAACCCGCAATCTGCGCCGCGCAACAAGGGGGAAGTAATTTTCGGTGTTTTCTCACTAGAAGGAGCAAGGCGTGTCGCTGTTCGCGCGCCAAACGGAGTTTGCCAGCAGCCGGTGCGAGTATGAGAATCAGCTGGCTGCACTGGAGCTGGAGCTAGAGAAATACAAAGTATGTGTAACTGTTATATATATATATCAATAGGAGTGAGACAGACTATAAAACCGGCAAAATTCAACATTTAGTAGCCTTAGTCTACCTATGATTTATTGTGTTTACCTCGATAAACTTGAGCTCAAGTCTTGCCTTAATCATTAAACTTTATCCGTGTCTAATCGTTGGTCTCACAAAAATGACAAATCGGGAGATATCGGTCCAAACGTACAATGTGGTTTTAGAAAGTTATACCGTGAAGTCAACAACTGTGAACCGAAACATAAGGGCAATGCTTTTGAAAGCCCTCTATCGCTTAGCAATGCAAACATAGCAAACAACTAGCGAGGTTGTATTGATACACTCCTGATATATATATATATATATATATATATATATATATATAGTGTGTATATATAGTAGTACTATGTGTGTAGAACAGGAGGTGTGGGAGCTAGAGAAATACAAAGTACGTGTGCATGGTAATACTACGTGTATAGAACAGGAGATGTTGGAGCTAGAGAGATACAACGTATGTGTGTATATATCTAGACTTAGTAGTACTATGTGTGTAGAGCAAGAGCTGTGGGAGCTAGAGAAATACAACGTATGTGTGTGTATATATAGTAATACTACGTGTGTAGAACAGGAGGTGTGGGTCGACATTACGGGGTGCGATGCAGCCAGGGCAAATGAACCTGACACACAGTGACTGTGGTGCCGTAAATCAACGATGGGAAAGTATACATGCTTTTCCTTAAATGATTTACCGCTTATTTTTTGGTTTTGCACGAAAATATTTATAATTACTGTGCCGGTAGAGCTGCACTGCACTCAAAAATATGCTTGGCTCAGGCTTGGTGTTAATAAGGCAAGATTGACTTAGGTTAGGCAACGTTCCTAAACTTCCAATGACAGTCCGTAGTCTGTGATTTTCTGATGGCATTAATCGAATCCTGAGCATGCTCTAGTTAAGAAACTCAATTGTACTTAATTGTATAGTGTGATAACACCAGGACTGAATAATAATAGCATCGATTATTATTTACTCCTGATAACATCATTCATATAGACTATTTATGTTATTACTCGTTATAGCTGCTCCTGGAATGTTTCCGTACTTGATAGTATCTGTAATGTGTTTCTTTATTCATAATTTATTAATTAATTCACAATAACAGAATGATTTTTTCGACGTTTGATAGATACTTGCTGGCATCGAAAATCTGAGGGAGGAGAAGAGCCTAGATGAAGCCATCAGTAACCTCCATACTGGAGTCGGTGTGAAGGCCAAGGTTGCGTCACTCACGGAGAATGGCCACGCAACACCCATCCCCGCCCCTCCCCCTCCTCCTCCTCCACCTCCACCTCCCGGGATGGGATCAGTACCACCACCTCCACCACCCCCACCGCCCCCGCTAGGAGGAGGCCCACCACCACCTCCTCCCCCTCCCCCTCCTCCACTAGGATCGGGGCCACCGCCTCCTCCTCCTCCTCCGGCACCCCCCGGTTCGGGGCCGCCCCCTCCTCCGCCTCCCCCTCCCGGTGCTGGGGGACGGCCCCCGCCGCCGCCGCCGATGTCTTCTGGTGCTCCAGTCATGCAGAGAGGTAAGTGCAGCGTGGTGCCTTGGCAGTGTGAGGAGGCTAGCATGCGTGTGAGGAGGCTGGCTGTGGCTGTGTGTTGGCGACATTAGCTGCGAGGAAATCTATCTATGAGAGCCGAAGCGGTCGGCTGAGCGAAAAAACCGACGTGTGATTTTCACGGTAAATTTTTATGATGAGCGACGATGCTTAATCGTAAAATTACGCTCGAAAACTGGTTCTTCATCTCGCCCTTTCTAAAGTGAGCGAGGGTGCTTAATTGAGTGTCCCTTTTGTGTGGATATCTCGAATTGCCTTGCCTTGTGAAGATGCAATGAACCAGGATGTTAGTTGTTTACATAGCCCATGTTTATAGTCCGTGGATACGGCACTAGAATTATAATGGTGCTATTATGTGCTATTACAGGCCCACTTCTTTATCTTCACAAAATGTCTTACAAAGTTTTAAGTTTGAACAAAACCAGTAAGATTTTTCCAACAGTTCTCTACAACTGTCAATGTAACGGTTGTACTAATTCGGGTGACTATAAGAAACAATCAGGCTTTTATATATATATACCCTAGGCCAAAGTGATGGGGGTTTCTGTGGGAATATTAAGATATTATTATTAATAAGAAGATTGGGAGTGTGAAGATCTATTGTTCAAGCGTGCGCGATACGTGTGAAGTGATGGTGATGTCCGGCTGTCATTTTTGCCACAGGTCCCAGGAAATCGCTGAAGGTGCCGAAAGCAGAGATGAAGCCACTGTTCTGGAACAGGATTCAGCTACACGACCTTCATAAGATCATGCCTGAGTAGGTCACCATCGCATAGTGAGTGTGGGAAGGGAAGGAGGGAGGGAAGAGAGATATATAAAGTGGGAGGTAGTGAAGGAAGAAGTGATGGAGGGTACCCACAGAGGGAGGAAAGGAATCAAAGAAGGAGGGTACCAATGGAGAGAAGGAGGGCACACACAGAGGGAAGGTGGGTGCCAACAGAGGGACTGTACACACGTAAGGAGGAAGGGTATCTATGGAGTGAGGATATCCACAGAGGAAAGGTGCTTAGAGAGGGAGGGAAGGTATCCACGGAAGGAAGGAGGTTTTTTACCCATGGAGGGAAAGAGGGAGGGTTCCCACGGATGGGGAGGCTACCAACGGTGAGGGAGGGCACCTGCAGACGGAGGCAAGATATCTACAGAGGGAAGAATGGTACCAATGAAGGGAGCGAGAGGCGAGAAGGAGCGAAGAGGGAGGGTGCTGACGGAGGGAAACAGGCAACTCAACTGCCAATTACAAGATCGGCTGTCTGGTAGAAAGCTAGTATGGTGAAAACAATCTAGTTGTGCGCAATTAATACTTATGTGACGTTGTGCTGTTCCCCCGTGAAAATTGTTATCTCCATAGTTTATCATGGCGGGTGTGTTGTCATGTAGAGACTAATATAGTATACATTTGTTACACTGAACATTACTCTATATGAAATTTTGCATCTTGCAAATTAAGGAGTGCGAGTGTAAGCAATGTTTTCAAGAGATGTTATGTTCTTCATGGGCTGATTGTTTGCATTTCAGGCTACCAGAGGGCACCAAGACTCTATGGGAGGAACTGGAGGAGCCGCAGATTGATGTAGACGAATTCGAGGTGTTGTTTTCTAAAAAACAGATGCAACCAAAAAAGAAGAAAACTGCTGAATCAAATAAAAAACAAGTGAAGAAGGTAGGATATAAATATAATAGCTATCGATGGTATGCAATCATCGATTTAGATTTTAAAAATCTATACATTATGGGAGGCAGCAAGAGAGAAAGAGAAAGGGAGTGAGAGAGATAGAAAGTGAGAGTGAGAGAAAGAGAGATAGAGAAAGAAAGAGAAATAGAGAGAGGGAGAGAGAGAGAGAATCTGATACATTCAAACAGAAGTAGATAGCACATGTTTGCACATACCTATAGATATTATTAGTTTTCTTGCTCGCAATCTCCTTGTAATCTTCTTCATGGATATGTATATATCATATAAATGCATAAATAAATATGTGTGTGTATGTGTGTGCATGTGTTTGTATATATATAATATATATTAGCATAGAATCTTATACATTCAAACAAAATTGGATATCCTATGTGTAAACATACACATTGATATTGTTTGTTTGCTTACTTGTATTTCATGTAATCCTCAAAATACAACGTTACTATTATACGTCAATGGAGCACGCTAATCATAAAGACACAGTGAGAGCTGATGCACCTGGTAGAAACATGGCTGACGTTATTCGTTTCCACGAGTGTAGAAAGCAAACACGTTTAGGATATAATAATGAATAAGTTGAATGATGATAAGTTGATGAATGAATAATATAATAATAAGTTTGTCGGCCTAAAGTAAAAACTAGCAAAGTGTTAGTAAGTTTTAAAGTAAGTAAGTCGGCTAAAAGTATCGAATAATAATAATACTAAACTGATACATTATAGTTAGCGTAAAGTAAGTTAGCATAGGGTCGTCGTGTAATAATACAGTCGCTAGTGCTCGTGTAGTTGACCTGCATGAGAGCATAGAAATCATATACTAGTTAGGCTAGTATATACTAGTTATACTAGTGTCTCTATACATTTCTATGAATAATACTTCTATAATAATAATAATAATACTACTACTAATAATAATATTTATATGAATAAGAATTCTACATGGAAATAATATACTAGTTAGGCTAGTATATACTAGTTATACTAGTTATACTAGCATCTCTATACTTTTCTATGTGTGAAAGCTGTAATAATATGCCTTACACATTTACAAATTACTAATTGTCTTTATTTCGGGAGCCTATAAATTGGCACCCATGCTCTGAAATGCAAACACCAAAAAAGGTGGGAAAATCCGCGCATGCGCACAGTGCTCACGCACCAATATACAACACGTATGCGCATATCACAAAAGTATGATCTTTGCGTTCTTACAGGTCATCAAGATACTGGACCAGAAGCGATCTCAGGGTCTCGGCATTGTTCTCTCTAGTCTGCACATTGAGATCAGTGATGTTGAATCAAGTAATGCGAAAGTTACTCGATCTGCGAAAACCGTTAATTCCGATGAAACGGGAAAATCCTGAATTCGATATTTGAGATCGTAAATTCGATTTTGTCGATATCGTAACCTCGATTCGATCGTAAATCGATTTCAATTTCAGCAAAGTGCAAATAATCACATGTATTTCTCTGCAGAGACACTCCTCCTCACAAGTTAATTCACATTTTTATTAGAAGTACAGAATTCTGATGTTGTTGTGTTTTCATCTTTAAATTGCTTTCTGTCGGTGCCATTAACTAGGTAAATTCAGTGGGGAACGAGTTTATTGCATGCATTTCTCGCTATTCAGCGCGTTCTGGCAGCATTGATTTTAAATTGGCTGACGCGTTTCCCATTTCAGCTCTGTTAAACGTCGATACCACTTTGCTGGATTATGACCGGCTTCAGAAAGTCTACGAGAACGTGAGTACATCCCTCGACCACAGCGTTGAACGGTATATGTGCATGTGCTCTCGTGGGGCTCGTGTCCAGTGACACAATTACAATTCGTGAGTCTGTATGAGTGTTCCCCGATGCAGTCTTAGGTGCCTGCCATTAGCACTAATCTTAAGGGTAATGTTAAAAATAATGGTGACTGCTGAGAACATGCGTGGAAAATGTTATACGTCCCCCCCCCCCCACACACACAGTACCACTCTCTCTCTCTCACACACACACACACACACACACCGTAGCGCACATGCACGCACGCACTCACACAGACAGACACACCAACATACAGACACACATTCAGACACGCACGCACGCGCGCACACACGCACGCACGCACGCACGCACGCACGCACGCACGCGCGCACACACACAGTACCTGACGAAATGTTCTGTGTATCCGTAGCGACCGGAGGCTGAGGAGTTGAAGGCGATCACGGATGCGGTGGAGAAGAATAAGGATGAGCAGACAGCTCTTGACAAACCTGAACAGTAAGTGAAGCCCTGTCCTCATTTTTATTGCCCTATAATTTGCAAACCTTTGGGAAATATAATTGAAAGAAGAAGATAGACTTGGCTCGGTCATGTCGCCCGGATGGAAGAAGGTACCATAGCGAAAACGGCACTTAGCTGGACGCCAGACGGGAGGAGAAGAAAGGGAAGACCCACGGAGACCCGGAGAAGGACTATCGAGAGGGAGATCGCGATGTGGGTGTGTGACCTGTCATGTGACACGCTGAGGCCAGTAGCAGCGGACCGACGATGTTGGAGATCTCTTGTTACTGCCTTGTGTGCATTCTAGGCATCTACAAGGGATAACTAACTAACTAAAATCATTTGCAGCATCTAGCAGGATAAATCTAGCAGAAAGTAAACCACAATTTAAGTGAAAATAATGCCATACGTTGGTATATGCTAGATTGAAAGATTTTCAATGCACAGATCTGTGTGTATATTTTATGATTGTTGTACTATTGTTGTGTTTAAAAGGAATGGGTATATATAGATAGAAACATACAAGACTGTATTATGATATGATGAATAACTATGCTCGCTCATTTTTTGTTAAGGTTTTTGTATGACCTGGCAAAGATCCCCAACTACTTGGAGCGAATTCATTGCATCATCTACCAATCTTCGTTCATGGAGACAATCTCTGCACTGGAGAGCAAACTCAGCAATTTCAGGCTGACATGTCAGGTACCATGCTCACCATCAGCATTCTCTTCTTAGTGTATACCCTGAAGCAAGACACTGCAGTACCGGATTAGAGAACCTATCAGCTTTGTTCTCACATGTAGCCTAGCAGAGTTTCAGCATCATTAGTACAAGGAGATGCAATTCCTTTTCACTAGATGGCGCCGTTAGTACTGTAAAGAAAGAGAGCTGCAGTTATGTTATGGGATTAAATTAAGGCAGCTATAGCTATAGAGGTATTATGTTAGATAATTTATGATATACGCAATCTAACATCAATATCGATTAAAAAAACTTGCATAAATAGTTCCCAAAACACAAGTTAGTCTTTGCTGAACTCTGTGGCTCCATAGACACTAGTGGATATTTCGTCATACATAGAGGGTATAGAGTAAATAGATAAAAATATCTTATCCAGTATATATTTTTAGTCTACATATTTTAGGTTAATTAGATCAATTATATATTGTCTATATAGTCAGAAATGTAAAACACACAAAATAACACCGTTTTGCTATTCACAGGTGCTGCTAACTGGAAGAGGTGTCCAACGAATGATGTCATTGATTCTGGCGATTGGGAACTACATGAATGGAGGCAAGCACATAATCTTAGCCGTATCCCATAGCAATTATAAGAGCTGCCAAAGATAGAACGTCACGGAGAAATTAGATTTCCAGCCCTATTCTCCACGATGAGAGAAGGAACTAAGAAGAAGAAGATAGCTATTATAAATGAATCCTCACGAAACATTGTTCGGGAGATTGATAACCCGCAAAACATACGCTAATCTATCAACCATTCGTAGGTCTATGGCATTTATTTTCAAAGGCTGGAGTTTTAAGTAACTGCACTAGCTTATTTATACTAGTCAGTATGTATGTTACAAAGTTGGTGTTTACGATACAGGTAGCAGAACACGAGGGCAAGCAGATGGTTTCAACATCGAGATTCTGCCAAAGCTGAGGGATGTAAAAAGTCAGGTATGGCTCCATTTAATTGATATCTAATTATCAGGAGGTTATCTAATTTAAATTGTGTGATCGTAATGTTATTACATTGCAATCCCATGTTGATGAGTGTGTATGGGATAGACGTGTTCATGTGTACGGGCGTAGATATTTGTTAGTTATTTTCAGCCATATGCTCGAAAAATTCCCGGTTTTAAACTGGGATTCCCCAGTTCATTTCATAAAGCCCTTAGAATTGTAATAAGTAAAAAGAGAAACAAACACCCCATAGTGCCAACTGATCAGTTTTTTTTCTCATTTATATTATTTTTGTTATTTTTGTCATACCCCGATTGCCAACACTGACCTCCACCTGACTTTCAACTCCGTCTCTCTCTCTCTCGCTCGCTCTTTCACTCCCCCTCTCTCTCCCTCTCTCCCTCTCTCTCCCTCTCTCTCTCTCTCTCTCTCTTGATCTTTCGCTCTCCCTCCCCCCTATCTCTCTCCCTCTCTCTCTCTCTCCCTCTCCCTTTCTCTCCCCCTCTCTCTCTCTCTCTCCCTCTCCCTCTATCTCTCTATCTCTCTCTCTCTCTCCCTCCCTCTTCCCCATCTCTCTCTTTCCCCCTTCTCTCTCTCTGTTCCGCGTCTTCCTCGCGTGCAGGACAACTCGTCTATCCTTATCCTTATCTACAAGTGGCGCCCTCTCTTGGGCGTACAAGGACTAAACTTTACTTTAATGTTTTGCAATAATTATCTTACACAGGACAACTCGTCGAGTCTTCTCAACTACGTCGTCCGATGCTACCTGACGCTGTACGAACCGAACGGAGATGTAGAGGGCGCCAAGTTCCCCCTTCCGGAGCCGCTTGACGTGTCTCAGGCCGCGCTCGTCAATTTCGACGACGTCTCGAACGAGTTGAAGAAGATCCGCAAAGAGCTGGACGGTATGTCGAAGCGGGAGCCGCGTCGCCACGGCAACCGGAGGCGTGGCGGGTCGGCAGGCGATTTTTGCAAAAAATGTTTGTGGGGGGGAAAATTTTTTGTGTTTTGTATTTATTTTTTGTGTAATTGTTCGTTTTTTGATGCATTTTTAAAATTGTAATTATTCAATTGTTTATTTTGGGATGATGATCTTTGCATCTATGATTTCGGCATGCGATATGGATGTTCACGTGCCCCGTGTCATCGTTGGATTTATAATTGCATGATTACTTTTTGTGCTTCGGTCACGTTGAATTTCAAGAAGACAAAATCAGAAAGACTGTTTTGTGTGAAAGTTGCACGTGTTTTGCATTCGACAGCATGTGAGAAACAGGCAGCTAGGGTGGTGGAGGGGTCTACAGAGGAAACGAGGCAGCCTTTCCAGGACGTGATGGAGAAATTCTTTCAGAAAGGTATGCGAGCGCATGTGTGGGTATATACGTGTGTAGGTGGCAATGCTATGAAGTTGATGGCATTTCCTGTTTCCGCCCATGGGCACACAGGTAAACCTATTCTGGCTCGCTGCCAAAACAAGATTATGTAACACATTTAATGCCTATCGTGCATTGAATTAGATTATCACATTGACGTAGCTCTTGTTATTACTCATTATTTAATGCCACTTCACCTCAGTTTTTACGAAAAAATATCTTGATACTGTCACATGATACTTAGTGCTCACAAATCTACGTTTCTCTTTAGCCAACCTGGACCATAAAGATCAAAAGGAAAGTTTCGAAGAATGTCAGTCAAAGTAAGCAAATTCGTTCCCATGATCTTCAATTTGCTGTCTAGTGTCAGATCTTGTCCTTAGTCAAGTCTTGTGCTGCACCCTGGTGTACGTCTCGACTAAAAATGATTACCAGGTTGTCATGCGAGTGAAAAGATAAGTCCATTCTATAATCGTGCGTCTGACTATGCAGACATTAAACGTTCACAAGCAACGTGTGATTACGTCCCTTTGCCATGCCGTATTTACGCTGGCACAGA